TGGTCCTTTTTCTTTTGACTTGCGGATATGGCAGTGCCCTTAAGTTCTTGCTTGCACTTGAATAACAGATTTTTTGTTGTTGTAAAAATGAGATAGATTCTATACTTTTACTCTTCCAGTAGTTCATGTTTATCTACTGCCTCAAATCCCAATAAAAACACGTTGTTTTGTTCCACCATTAATTGTTTCATTATATTAATTAATTTATGACGTCATAGCCATAGAATTGCGGGAAATGAAAATAAATATCTCCAAGATCGATTTTCGTTCCTTTTGCTTTTGAGCATCCAATTTCCCGCCCTTTACTTCACAAAATCATTATTTCGCTGTAACAGTAAGACAATTTATTGTCATAACCTAAAAATGCGGCACCAACGTCAGTCGTGATAAAAAAAGACAGTGGAGTACACTTTCCTTTTTTCGAAAAGTAGAAAAGTAGTGCGTGGGTCGTAAGCTGGTAAAATCAATGGCTATAGCTTTATTTGGTAGCACCTTTTTCTTCTAGAGAACCCCGACCCATTATACCATCACGCGTTTCAGGCAACCCACGTGAAAGTCGCCGATCTCTGTTTATAGCTCGTAACCATCCAAAATAACAGGTCTTGTGCCAGTGCCGAATTAACGCAATTCTGCTTATTTATTTTATTTATTTATCTAGTTGTAATATCAAAGTTTACTGGCAAATATTTTATTAGGAATTGAAATTTTATCGAAACAAAAGACTTTATTGATCCAAAAAAAACCAATTAAAATGATTTAAATTATGTGAAGTTTATATTCAAATTAAATCAGAACAAAAACTGTTCATATTAAAATAAATAAGAACTAAAAGTTCAGATTATCACGAAATTATATATTTTTACATGACAAGTGTTTCGACAACACCGTGTCTTTATCAAATGTAATATTTACAAACTACTTGCTACTAAACATACCGAAAAATGACCATAAAACCATAATTAATGTTGTTGTGAGAATTTAAGGTCAATAAAGGAGAGGTATTTAAATCTAACTGATCGTTAAGCAATACATTTGAATGTCTCATTTTGTCAATCTCCATGGCTTCCAATAAATTTAATTTTATACTTTTTGTGGCTGTATGTAAAATATAAAAATTGTCGTTAAAAATGTGTTTTTCTGTGTTTAAGTGTGTTGCATAATTTTCATAAATTTCAAGATAAGATCTGCATTTCAACCTGTAGACACCTGATTTTTGAGATTTTGTACATTTCGTTTTATTGTTTTTTAAAAATTTTCCTATTTTGTTGTTAGTTCTGAAAGCTATTTGTAAACCACATTTTGACAAATGTTTTGAAACTTTTTCACTAGGTTCTCCTATGCATGTAATTGTTTTAAATTGTTCGTGTTCTGTATTAGGTTTCGGATAAATAGAGTTTACTGGATTGTCTGAATTTGTTTTTTATTTATAATTTTATCTATAATAGATGGATTGTAGCCGTTGTTCAGTGCAATTTGTTTAATGATATTAAGTTCTTTGTTGTAATTTTCTATTGAAAGTGGTGTATTAAGAAGTCTGTCTATAAAAAAAAAATTAGTAAATATTTTAAAGTTCCACACAGATTTTAAACCAAAATTTGCAAATAAAAAATTCTTTTGAATTAATCAACAAAATTAAAGATATCAAAATCCCTTCTAACGCAACACTATTGTCTATACAAAACTTATTTCCCAGTATTCCACCTATGGATGTGATAGATTTAGTAGATTTCACCCTCGGAAACAGGTTAAGCATTGGTGAAAAAAGATTTATTAGATTGCTTAATAGTATCTTTAGACCAAAATTATTTTGAATTTAATGGACAGATTTACATCTCTAAGGAAGGTTTGATTATGGGAAACCCCCTTAGTCCTTTGTTAGCCGACATTTTTATTGATAATTTCGAAAATATCATACTAGAACATCCTTTAAGTAAAAGTTTTCTATGGTGGTATAGATACGTGGATGATGTGTTTGCTTGCTTTGTTGGAACGGACAGACAATTGAATTCTTTTTAAATTACTCATTACATAATGGTATAAAATTCACTATCGAGATTGAACAAAATAACTCTATTAATTTTTTAGACTTTTTCAAAATTTTAATTTCCAAATATATACAGGGTGTGTCCGGTATTCGCAAAAAACTGAAAATTGGGTTCCTCTTTTAATAAAAATTGACTAGAAGGCTGTGATTTGTTTTGCCGATATAGCCCATATGGACAGCTAAAACTTTTGTATTTGTTTTCGCATAGTTTACAGGGTGTTCGGGATATTCAAAAATTTTATGGCTGTGTCAAATTTGCAGCTATCGATTTGAAATTTAGTAGAGAAGTCCATGCCTATATCTAAACTCTCTAATTGAGCACAATCAAATATCATTAATTAATTTTTTTAATTGAATTTTTTTTTGGGTTATTTTGGTTTCCAGAAAAAAATTGTTTCAAACATATATAGGAACTTTGCATTTATTGTAAGCGTTCACTATTAAGGAGTCACACACAAGAATTTTTAAAGGTTTCATAAAATAATGAAAACTATTGGGAGAAACAGTCACATCGTGTTTATGGTTACCCCAAATAAATTTCATAGTATTGCACACACGTCAAACAACTTTTTATAATCACGGCACTAAACCTCCCAACTTTATAAATAAAAAAAAATTAATGACATACAAAAATAAATCACATATTAATATAAACAGTCATCTGAAAGAAGTCCAAAGTAAACTAGGTATTAACAAGGCTATCATTTTATTCCAGTAAAGGATTCAAATATTATCTCACGCAAACTTACGTTTGTCATTAGATGTGTTAAAAGGAAAATTTAAACTCTTCAAACTAAACTAGATTTACTTTATTTAATTTTGGACATTTCTTGCCTTTATAGTATTCTTTTGTAATTACTTTGTCTTCTACATTTCTTTTAGAACTTAATGAATGAGTACTGTGTCAACTGAATAAGCAAAATTAACCCGAAATGTTGTTTGTTTTTCACAATTTCCAAACATTAAATGCATAAAATGTATCGTCAAAAATTATTTCAGACACGGCCACTTTAAAATCTTCATTTCCTGATATAATAAGTATTTTTTGATGCGTAGCTTGTTTTTTGATTACAAAAAAAAACTCCAAATTAAAGATTGCAAAACGTATTTCGACTTTAACGACGACCATATGGCGACCATATACCGTTACCCAATAAAACTTTTCGGACGAAACGGGCAACATGCCGCAAGTGCGGCCCTGGCGACTTGGGACCAGCGCCGTCTACGCGACCATATGGTCAACCCACATTTGCGGGAATTAAAAACTTTTCAAGCCTGCCATATAAGGCGCTCTCGACGCCAGGCATCCTTCGTTAAGGTCGAACCCAGCTCCGAATATCGCCGTTTCGCCATATATAAACACCCATTGAAAAGGAAAATCAAGCAAACGTTACGTAAAATAAGCAAACAATAATAATTCGCCCTACTGCCAGTTGCTGCACATTTACTTACTTCGCAAAATTGAAATTGCTTGCATTTTTTTAAGAATGAATAAAATACGCAAACACATAATTGGTTGCGTACCCATAAAAATCAAAATCATTTGGAAAAGAGGACAGTTTTATAAGGTTTTTATAAAGTTTATGTAACGCCAGATCAAATATTTAAGAATACTATTTCTATTGTTTGAAGGAAAAATGTTTCATAGTCTCATGTCTCAAACAAAATCAAATAAAACCAACCAATATCGAATCTACCGAACACGATACACTTCCTTAAGTTTCTTCAATCTTCTATGAATGTGAATTCGAATCAGCACAATTTTCGAAATTTGAAATGCAGAATACATTAGAAAGGAATATAATTTGGGATATATCCTGGTGAATCCGCCAAAACATTGTATATTAAACGTTTTTATTACGAGTGTGCAAATTAAGTATTTCTCCTCTCATTAGTTCAATATCAAATGGGAAGAAAAAAGTTCACAGTGTGCTTAGCGATTCTACACTTTCTATACTTAAATCGTTATTCGGAAACTGTTTTACATTCTATATCTATTATTTGATTCGAATAATCGAAGATATGCAACCGATTATACGACCCCGTATTTTCCCTTTGTAATTCAAGAAACCACATAGCAAGCAAAGGGAAAAATGTCATTACAAAAAAATTGGCAAACAATATTAATTCGCCGTACTGCCGGTTGCTGCACATTTAATTACTTCGCAAAATTGTAATCCCTTGCATTTTTTGACGAATCAGCAAAATAGGCAAACATATAATTGGTTGCATACCCATGAGGATCAGAACTATTCGACCAAGAGTACAGGTTTTATCCTCACACCATTTAACGTCACATCAAATATTTAAGAATAATATTTCTGTTGTTTGAAGGAAAAATGTTTCATAGTTTCTCAAAATGTGTCGAACAAAATCAAATAAAACAAACCAATTGTTTCTCGACGAATTTACCAAACACGATACTTGTCCGAAGTTTCTGAAATCTTTTATGAATTTGAATTCGAATCCAACAATTCTGGAAATTTAAAACGAATAATGCGAAGAATATGGTTGAGATACTTTCGGAGCTAATCCGCCAAAACGCGGTCTTGTTGGCATTTTTATTACAAGCGAAGAGTACATGTTTCTTCTCTCAGCCGTCGAGTGCGCTAAACAATGCGATATTATTAAACTTTACTATTCTCTAAAAATATTTTTTTGTGACATCGTTACACACTGTTTTACTTTGGTTCCAATAATCGAGGGTATGCAACCAACTATACGACTCCACATTGATCTTTGTTATTCAACAAATCACTTTGATCAATGTTTTAAGTAAAATTTTATTCAACTCTCCTACTATTACTAACTAATAGGAAAATAATAAGTCTAAAATTTGTTAAACATAAATTTTGAAATATGCATTTACCAAGAGTACCCAAAAAATTGCCTCCAAATTCTAAATTACCCGCACATTACACAGCGGCGCGCGAAAATAAAATGGCCAAGGCAACGTGTAAAAATATATATAAAAAAAAAACAAAGATTGACAAAAAAACAAAAACAATGCGGACGTGACTGTCGGGTGTTCGTAATCATTATGCTAGTTGTAATAGCCGCCATGTTGAGGTGGAGCCGACTCCCTTTCAGGGTGAGTCCTGCAAACGCAATCGGGAATATCACAATCCCCACCGTCCTCCCCAGAGCGTTCCGGAGACTTATCACCGTTCGAATTCTGTTGATATTCTACAATGATAACAAAGAAAAAAAAATTAAATATAAAGTAGATATAAATATAAATCGAAAAGAGCAAGTGGACCCCCATTTACCACTTGATCATAAAAATTTAATCTATATTCTCATATTATATTATGATAAAGCAATTTAACCGCAACCAAAAATGTCAGTGTTCAAGTGTACAGATTGCGAAAAAAATTATTATTTTATATCGGGTTGTTGTCAAATTTCTTAAAAAGTATTTTTTATCTCCGAAAATGTTCAAGATACGTATGGTACATGGTACAAAAAAGAATTTCCAGAATGTTTCGTCGAATCTAAAAGTGAAATAATATACTGGGTGTTAAATTTATAAAACGAAAGTCGATATACGTTGCGAGTATATCTGGCAGCACCGCATGGCCAAAAATATTTTCAGGTTTTTAAGTTATTCTACATAAACGTCTAACGTTTTTGTAGAATATATATTTATATATATATATATATATATATATATGATGACACTATATTCCGGGATATCATCCGTTCGCTCGTTGAACTCCGACTGGAATCCTGCATCCGACTGGAATCCTGCAAATCTTGCATCCGACTGGAATCCTGCAGACGTTTCGCCAAAATCTCACTTGGCATCTTCAATGCTCGCGAGCATTGAAGATGCCAAGTGAGATTTTGGCGAAACGTCTGCAGGATTCCAGTCGGATGCAAGATTTGCAGGATTCCAGTCGGATGCAGGATTCCAGTCGGAGTTCAACGAGCGAACGGATGATATCCCGGAATATAGTGTCATCACATTTTTCCATCCGTGAATCAATACGTGAGAATATATATATATATATATATATATATATATATATATATATATATATATATATATATATATATATATATATATATATATATATATATATAAATTATTATTAATAAAATTTTATTTTTTTAACAATATTACCAATCATAACATACTGAGTAGAATTAAATTGTAAATTTGTCGTCAGTTATTTTTTAAAAAAACTTATTTTTTTTTTAAATAAATACTTTTTCATCCTCTGAAACGAGCCTGCATTCTAGTGAAAAATTTTCCAATGGTTTGTAATAATGAAAATGGCGAGTATTTTGTATTGTACTTAAGCGTTTGAATCGTGGTTGGTATTTTTGGGAACTTTGGGCTTACTGAAAAAAGGAAAGTGGGGTTGTTATATGGTTGTTTTTATCACGTGGGAAACTAGCACGATAAGCATGTCTTTTTACACTCCCTGCTAACCCATTACACGCTCCTTTGCTATGAGATGTAGTGAAAAAAGTCCAATCAGCATCAACACCAAAATTGGCAAAATTATATTTATTTTTATATTGTGAAGCTCCATCGGAAAAATACTGGATTTTTTTAAATTTATCGGCACCAAATTTAGATTTCAAAAATTCTATCAATTTAGTTTTAATTAAATGTACTGATCTTGCATCGTGACTAAGTTTTTCCGATATCACAACAAAATTTTCATACTTCATTCCTCCATTCACTTTATAATCAATGACATAAGCCTGATCATTGGACCAATGGTGTGATTGAATATCATCTTGAACAAAATAAGCGTTGAATTGCTAATTGCTAAAAAAAGCCTAAAAAGCAGAAATAAATTTTAATCAATTTAAACTCCTATTAAAGCATATTAAATTGTCTGTCAAATGGCATATTTTTTAGCGATCAGTAGTTTCTAAAAAAATTAAATGAAATTGAAGTTTCTGTATTGTAAATATCAGGGTCGGGCTGACTTAAATCGTGACTAAAATCATGATTTAAATCAAACTCCTGTTTTTCAAAATCTTTTTTTTTATGGAGACCGATACAAAAAGCACAACGTGAAAATATTATCACAAATAAAAAGCAAAACACAAGTTTTTCAAAAAAAATAAGGTAAATAACGTAATAATACTTTATGCTTCTGCATTTTAGTTGTATTTTTCGACACACAGGCCATAGAATGATTTCACTATAGTCTATTCGAAATCGAAATGTTTCGTACTCACCCTTGTTGTTATTGTCCGACCTGTTGTTATTTTCCGCGACTTTCTTGCCAGCGGGCTCGGCCAAGTGGGTATCCCCTCCACTCGCTCTGCGACCGCGTCCGCCCCTTCTTCTCCCGCGGCCCCTCCTGCGTCGCCTGCGCCCCTTTGAGCGCCGCCTGCGCCGCCTCCTGCCGCGCGTTCTGTCCTCCGGCTCGCTCCCATCTTCAGACATGATCATTTATTATACCGGCTTTAAGAAATCACTGTATGTCGACTTTTACAGCCTAAATTTACAGTCGAAACTCTATATAGCGAAACTGAACGGACTGCTTTTTTTTTTCGTTAAAAATAACCATACGCATATGTGTTCTGTAACATTTAATTATTTTATATACACATTTTGACATCTACTTAGGAACATTTTATATGAAAATGTAAGAATTAAATTTAATATTTCAAATAATAGATACGCATCTCGTACTTTGGCTTGTATTTTCACCATTTCTTCGTGAGGGACATCTTCCCCATGATACCAAAAAAAATTCTCTAGCAGCTTAACTGAATATGGGGCTTGTTGAATGGTTGGTGGTAGTCTCAGATCTTCTTCTTCCTCTCGGTGCTCTTCCTCACACGTTCTTGCTTGTCGCAATATGGCTTCCTCTGTCAAGTCTGCTGTTGTAGGCAAATCCTAATCTATCACCATACAATCCTGCAACTTCTCACTGCAGCTTTCTTTTTTCACTCCCACTCATATTGGCAGCTACTAACACTGTTATACGTTCTTTAGAAAGTTTTCCACGCACACAGCTTTCCTTTCGAAATTTAAGAGTTTTATCTGGTGTCATTTTGTAAAAAATACCAGCATTCGTCAGCATTAAAAATGTCAAATTGGTTAAGGCTTTCGCGGCCCGTTGATAAGCTATTATCTTCATTCGGGTTTAAAGGCCGTCGTCGATTGGAATTACTTCCTAACGTTTCGCTAGCACGAGTGGCGAGCTTCTTCAGAGGTCCTTCCATCTCCGATGTTGGACGTAGACTGACGATTTCTCCTGCGCAGGTTGTATTTATGCCGATTGGTGGAGGGCGGGGCTTGTTCCGCTTCGGTTGGTCTCGGGATATCGATCGGTACTGCTCGGGCGTTCCTAAGGATCGGGTTCCAGATTTGGTTGAGTCTAAGGGTCTCCTCCTTTCGGTTGAAATTGTGTGGGTGTTTTTGAATCGCAATGGCTTCCCACCAAGGCTCTATGGACTACCTAAGATACACAAAGTAGATGTCCCGTTAAGACCAATAGTTAACGCACCCGGATCACCAACGTATTACTTGGCTAAACACTTGGCATCGCTGCTTCAACCATACGTAGGACGTATGGCACCAGTTGCATCAAGGACTCCACCGACTTCGTGGGCAAGATACAAGATATCAATATTGAACAAAACGACATCCTTGTGAGCTTCGACGTTGTCTCACTGTTTACCAATGTACCTCTGAAGAGTTGCTTGGACCTGGTGAACAGGATATTTCCTGTCGATATTTGCAAACTTTTTGAAGAAGTCTGTCTGACCGGTAGCTATTTCGTATGGAAGGGAAACTTCTACGAACAGGTGGACGGAGTGGCAATGGGAAGCCCACTAAGCCCGGTTATAGCCAACTTATTTATGGAACACTTTGAGGAAAAAGCGATCGAGACCTCAGAGTACAAGCCAGCAACGTGGTTCCGGTACGTGGATGACACCTTCGTGATTTGGAAACATGGTATGGACAAGCTCAACAACTTTCTGCAGCATCTTAACAGTCAGCATCCCAGCATCCAGTTTACTATGGAGACTGAAAATGACCAACAACTTGCATTCTTGGACGTACTAGTGAGGAAGCGAGGTAACAAGCTGGGCCACACAGTTTACAGAAAACCAACCCATACGGACAGATACCTGCATGCTCTGTCCAACCATCACCCAAGTCAAAAGTATGGGGTTATCAGAACCCTGACAGAACGAGCCCGAAGGATTTGCGAACCGGAGAACCTCCAGATGGAACTTGAACACCTAAAAATGAACTCAAGATCATCAAGATCACAGGATACCGAACAACCACCCTCCACCTCCCACGCATATCTGCCGTATATTCCGAGTGTCGCCGACAGGATTGGCAGAGTATTGAAAAGACACGACATCAAAACAGTCTTTAAGCCTACAAAGAAGATCCAGCAGACCATCAGGTCAGCGAAGGACAAGAGGGACTCACTTTCAGCTGCGGGAGTCTACCGCATTCTGTATTCATGCGGAAAGGTCTACATCGGAACTACCAAGAGATCAATGGGAACGAGACTTAAGGAGCATAAAGCAAGCTGCAGGCTAGGACATACAGAGAAGTCTGCAGTGGCTGAACACGCACTGGGCAGCGGGGAACACAGGATACACTTTGAGAGCTGTAAGTTACTAGCATCGGTCAACGGCTATCACAACAGACTAGTCAGGGAAGCCATTGAGATTCAAAAACACCCACACAATTTCAACCGAAAGGAGGAGACCCTTAGACTCAACCAAATCTGGAACCCGATCCTTAGGAACGCCCGAGCAGTACCGATCGATATCCCGAGACCAACCGAAGCGGAACAAGCCCCGCCCTCCACCAATCGGCATAAATACAACCTGCGCAGGAAAAATCGTCAGTCTACGTCCAACATCGGAGATGGAAGGACCTCTGAAGAAGCTCGCCACTCGTGCTAGCGAAACGTTAGGAAGTAATTCCAATCGACGACGGCTTTTAAACCCGAATGAAGATAATAGCTTATTAAAAATGTCGTCAGCTAGTTTTGGCCACGTCTTCTCCAGCCAATCGTTAGCGACGTTTCTGTCGACATCACGGGCTTCGCCACTTATCTGTCCATAATTTATACCATGTTTCTGTTTGAACTTCTCCAGCCATCCTTCCGAAGCTTTGAAATCGATAATGCCAAGCTGTTCAGCAAAGATTTCTGCTTTTAGTTTGACCATAGGTCCAGAGAGTGGTACATTTTTAAGACGTTCCTGTTGGAACCAAGTGCCTGCAGGTTCAGGCAGAATGATTTTTTCTTTGCACCTCCAAGTGGTGAATACGGTAGGCGATGTAAGTCCGTATCGACGTCCCACATCACTTTTCTTTTCTCCCCGTTTTATCTACCGAATTAAAGCAACTTTATCATTTAGAGATAAAATTTTTCACTTGCTCGCCGTGTTCGCCGTATTTACTAACTGATTGCAACAATGGTGTGCTTTTATACATACCGATAAAGGCTTAACATAATCGCTTATTACGAGAAAAACACTTAGGACGACCAGGGGTTCTCGGTAATTAGATTATTAGGGTAAGGAATTCTTAGAGCAAAAATCTTCAAACTTTTGTATCTACACTTTTTTATCAAATATAACCCTGTAGGTGACCGCGAATTACCATATTTCTAGCAGGTTCTACCGTTTATAAATAACGTCCATGTTGCAAAATCCCTTACCAAATAGAATTAGATTAAAATCGGAAAGTATAAAAAAATGGTAGTAACATAGTTAAGACGTACGTATCATTTTTGATTACGTCACTACGCGCAAGTGCTCTGACTAGATGTCTGAAACAGTTAAAAATATACAACTAGGCCAACCTTCCTCGTTGTCTTCTAGGTCGGGATCGCCGACGTCACCAAAAGCGCGTCTTCTGGTTGATCTTCTGCCCCTTCGACTCCTGCGGCGGCGACGTCTTCTGCCTCTGCTCTTGCCCCGACCCCGCCGCGCCATTTTAGCTTCTGAATATTTCGATGGTTGAGTTCAAAATTCAAAGTTGAATAAATATCGCGAATATCAATTATTTACACCGGTAAAAATACGATAAATGGTATTTTTTTAAAGAAACTTCCATATTCTACTGTAATGCTTTTTACAAAACTTGTGGATTCCCTCCTGCTTAGTCGAAATCGCTGACGTTTCGCCAATCATTCTGCTGGCTTCTTCAGAGCTTGACTGAAACTCGTTGTCTGTTGAAACTGGAGTTTCAGTAAGCTCTGAAGAAGCCAACAGGATGATTGTTGTAAAAAGCAAGATAAATAGTATATTACATTAAATAAAAAATTATACAGTCGAAACTCTATATAGCGAAATTGAAGGGACTGCTTTTTTTTTCGTTAAATAACAATACGCATATGTGTTCTGTAATATTTAATTATTTCATGTACATATTTTAACATCTACTAAGGAACATTTTACATAAAAAATACATAAAAAATTTCTCTAGTAGCTTAACTGAATATAAGGCTTGTTGAATGGTTAGTGGTGGTCCCAGATCAACTTCTTCATCTTCTTCTTGCTCTTGGTGCTCTTCCTTCTTGCTTGTTGTAATATGGCTTCCTCTGACAAGTCTGCTGTTGCAGGCAAATCCTGACCTATCACCATAAAATCTTGCAAATCCTCGCTTGTAAACGTAATTGTTGTTTGAAACTGCTTTTTTCAACAGAGGAAGAGGAAGTAATTGAGAATAAGAATTTACAAAACAGCACCCTCAAAAAAGGATTCAGAGAACACAGAAAATTCATAAAATTAAACGGAATTCAGGGAAAAGATACCGGAAAAATTATTCCTGCCAAAGTTTTTCAAAATGAAGATCGCCAATGCCGAAAAGACTACTTCAATGAAACAGAAAGAAAACGTATTTTCGAAATATTTTGGAACTTGGCAGACTTTAATAAGCGAAATATATTGCTGTACGAAAAGGTTCATGTAGAAATGGTATTGGTTAAATTCTAAAACAGGCAAAGTTGCTGTTTGTAACAAATTCTTTTTAGATACTTTTCAAATAAGCCAAGGACGCTTGAAACGTGCATTGAAATCTAAAAACTTTGGCGTTTGCCTGGATCTTCGAGAAAAATATGTGATGAAGCAAATATGATTGTTCAAAAATTAACAGTTACACAAAATTTGAATCCCATTGTACTGGGGACCAATATCTTCATCCTGAACTGACTATAAAACAAAATTTAATTGTTATGAGCTTCACTGTGAAGACAATAATTTAAAAGCAGTTAATGAATCGAAAAATATTCAAAAAGGATTTTAATCTATACTTCCGCCAACCACGCATTATCTATCTATTAAACACTGAAGTCAAAGCATTAGAAAACCATGAAGAACGGAAGAAACATATGGAAGAACATGATATTCATTTGAAGCAAGCAGAATCGGATATAAATGCGTTAAAACAAGATCTAGAGCGAGTATCAAGTAATCCATCTCATTGTTTTGCAGAAAGTTAACTATTTCAGTAGCTTATTATATATTAAAATTACAATTTTAAAATTTAGAATTTAAAATTCTTGATCTATTGCCATGTCGGGGTAGACCTAAAAAATTTTGGAATATTGTATTGTCATCGTTATATAAAAGTATAAGAAGCATCACATCACTAAAATACCGACTTATTGCGGTATATACCTCCGGGACACCATAGCTACCTCAAATCACTCCCGCACACTGAGAATGTTAACGAATAACTTGCTACTAAATTTATTTCTATTATCTAAAAATATAATTTAAATGTGTTTTTTTTTTCTATTTTTAAGTTATATGTAAGGGACTTAAGCTCTTTCACTTTTTGTAGCAAAACAAATTTTTATTTTGAAAGTGACCCAAGTCCTTTTAAAATAAGCAAGGTCATATTATACACTCAATAATAGGATGTATAAAATTAAATCCCTTACATGCGACTTATAACATCTTCTTCAAATAAACCCAACATGATTACGTACCCAGTGGCGTGCGAACTGCCGAAAATTTCTTGAAAATCGTGTAGTCCTTGTCGTCCAGTCCGAGGACGTATTTGCCACGTTTCTGCTTGACCAAGCCGGAACTGATGCCGTGCACTAGTGCCCGTTTCACCTGGACCGCCAGGTTGCGAATTTTTCTTTTGTTTTGTCCTACAGAATCGCACACCTGAAATAAATCGAACGGGCTAGAAGAAAACGAAAATTTACGGTACATTTGGTAAATATGTTTTTAACGCTGCCACGTTGCCACTTCTTCGAAAAAGTAGCATCGGCATTGAAATTTTAAGTGGGACACCATGTATATTATTGCGTTTTCCGATCCGATTTTTGAATAATAAAAATAATGATTTTAACAAAAGTATCGGATAATGGCAACAAGTAAAAAAAAAACAGTAGAACACTAAAATGCAAACAGATACGTGAAAACGCACCAAGTATATCACACTGAGAGATCGGCATTACCACAATCAAAGTATTCTTCGATAGAATAAAAAACGTTCTTATTCAAAATGACCTTTAATTTTTGCTTAAATAAATGGACAGGCAATATCTGTCTGACGGACAAAGGCAACTTATTAAATAGACTTATTGGTAAAATCATAGGGCTGTTAGCTACTTTGGCTAACTTATGACTTGGCACCTGCAAATTAAGATTAGCTCTAAAATTGTAATTCTAGTCAGGTAATAATTAGAGAGATTACTCTTTATGTAAATTATGTTATTTAATATAAAGAGAGAGGGAATCGTTAAAATATTTAAATCTAGGAACAGGGTTCTACAAGAGTGACCACGAGACTTCCCCAACATTGTTCGAACAATGCGTTTTTGTTGGAGGAAAACTTCACTAGCTGTGGAAGAGTTTCCCCAGTATTTGTAAGATAAGCAAGATCCGACATAATACAATAGTAAAAGCTGAATATCCACACTGGACCGCCGTCGCCAAATAAAAGTATGCATAGCCATTTTGTTTGATACGTAGTCAATTTGGCCTGTCCAGGACAAATTACTCTCTATGATCAAACTCAAATACTTAACAAAGTTAGTCTGCATTCTAACCAAGAAGCTCTTGTTCAAATCCCTAAGCGAGAACAACATCATCTCCGTTTTTGTCCCGTTCAAACAAATACCGTTACGCTCACAATATCGGGTCATACCACTTACTGCCCTAGTGGCCAAGAACGCGAGATCTTCCAGACTCCTAGATGACACTGCCATAGCAGTATCATCTGCAAAAAAAACTTCAGTGGTTTTCGAGAAAATAATTATTTTCTTCATTTTTCCAATCAAAACGTAGCTTGAATTAAAAAATTCAATAAATAATTATCACACTGGGGCCAGCAGAAAGTTAAAACTACACGTTATTTCTTAGTATCGAAATTAGTTCTATACCAGACCAAATGCGTCTTTCGAAATGGAACGTTCTGTATTTGGTGACGTATTCCAAGAGCAAATTAAATTACCTTTCGAAAATCGTTTCGTTTCTGAAATAAAAGCGTGTTCAACTGAACTTTACTTTGACATTTGACATTGTTGATATAGGAAACCAGTATTCCAATGCCGTTTAAATTAATTTTATTAAATTAATATTATTTAATTAAATTAAATTATTACGTATCAGAAAATTAAAATAATTTATTAAGCGTGGACGATGAAACCACCAACAAACGAGAAACATCAAAACTACTGCGTGTCTCACTTAAGAACTGTAAAATCTTTGTTTATGGTTCGATTTTGGTATTATTTTTTGTTGAATAGGTCTCTGAAAAATGCACTAAAATCTTGTTTTGTTTATTGCTTCAACTTAAAGTTATGGCCAACCGCGACTATTTAGCAAAAAAGAGAGAAGAGGAAGGTACTATTAGCGATTTTTTTCAAATTAAATTGGCAACGAATTCTATATAGAATGTAGAATGATTATGGATAGAAAGAAAGAAAGAGAAATTAAATGGTTTTTTCGTATAGCATCGACTAAAGTCATGGCCGAAATAGTTTTTTGAAGCGGAAAATCGAAAAGTATTTTAGAGGTTTCTTCAAATTGAAATTGACCACAGATTCGTGTTCAGGACTACCGAAAAGTAAGTTGACCAGTGTACAACGATTAATTTGTATGTGGATTTTAAGATCTTAAAAATTTTAATTATTGAAATTTCGTCAATTACGATAAAAAGACCTTTTAAGGGACATTGATTTTTTTGAATATATATATAATGTAAACAAAATTAAAATATAGATAGATATATAAATTGGTTTTCCAAGGCAAACAATATACCGACAATGAATCAATCAATCAATTTTGATATATCTGTGATTTTTAATTTTTTTAAATTTTTTTAATTAAAATTCCTTTTTAATTAAAAAAATACAACGTTGTTAAGTCTGTGAAAGAAAATCGTTAGTGTCTTTCAGTGAAATATATCTATCAAAAAAGTATAATCAAAATTGAGCCATAAACAAATATTTCACAGCAGTAATGCATAAGCGAACTTCATGAAATCCCTAATAGCCCCTTCTCGGTATTTGACATCAAAAATTAGTCCCAGTAAGCCATGACTTCAGGATCTATCCAAAAATTAAAAAAATATCAGAATCAAACCGCAATCAAAGATTTTACAACCCTGTATTGAAACATTATAAAAATTGGTATAGTTGGGGTCTAGTCCTCCTGATTAAGTGGACACACTGTATATATTCTAACAAAATATTAGGTAATTAAAAAAAAGGAAAATTGAATCCAATTTTTACATTAGGGGTTCACCATTCAAGTGTTCACCATTTGAATTCTAAACACTTCTAAATAAATATATATTTCATATGTGCAGTTTAGAACCCAAAGATATTCAACATGGGACAGGGTCAGATGTAAGTTGTAGTTGTTTAGTACCTTATCACAACATGCAAAATAACTTATACAGAGTGCACATTTTAACGAATCATAATTATTTTTTTCTACTCCTGTAAAATACCTAATTACCCATCGATCTAGCGTGCGGGAAGCGTCACTTTACCACGTCAGTTTCGTTTCCCACGAATCCGAGCCACTTCGGACATTTCCGGGATTGAACCGCACGGATTTGGGAGCAATCGGATGTTTTCGGAGATATTTCCCACGTTTTGAATTTTGACGTTTGTCAATTCAGACGGTCATGTCAGTGAATGTATTCGCATTCCGCTGGGCTCCGCTCGTGTCAAACTCGCGTTTACCGCACTTGTTGCATAATGTACTATTTACCGGTGGGAGAATAAACACCGGCGCATGCGCCATTTTTCCGAATCAGCGATCAAATTTTTTATTCTCTCCAAAAACTTTTTTATGTAACTAGTTTGTATTTCTGCAATTGGTCCATTAATTAATGTAAATACTAACGCGTTCCAGGATTTGATCCTGACTGGACCCGTTTTTCTCCTTCATCTTGGCGATGGCGTCCAAAATATTTGGCAAAAGCTTCGGTTCCCAGATCCCTGTTTTCGTCATGGCGGCGAATTTGGAAAGTCCCCCCAAAAAAAACGACCCAGATAACAGCACACGACCTAAAACCAAATTCGTTAGATGTATAGATACGTTCTTGTGGTAGTTTTGCTTACACGCAGAAAGCCGTACTCAAAATTTTGTCATATTGAAAACAACGTCAACGTAAACAGATTCCGTTGTTTCTTCGTAACGTAGGTAACCACCGAAGGCTCCCAAACAGAAGGCCGTTTTCCTTCATTTTCTTGACCAACCGAAAATGTGAATCGAAATATGCCGAGTTCGGTTGTCACGCACATTTTGGTTACGCGTCTGTCAAAATGTATTCGTCAAAAATTGACATTGATTTGTTGTGACCATATACAGTGAACTGCGGTTATAAAGTACCCTATAGGGACCAGAAAATATAAGCGGAAGTACGCTATAAAAAAACACACAAAAAATTATGTAGTTACTTACATATTTTTATTTTACATAAAAATAGAAAACTAATAAACACTGTACTAAACAACGAAAGAAACTAAACTACCTAAACTAAAAACTTGTCTATCTCTAAAAAGATCGTTATTTTTGTTTATTTTTGCTCAATATAGATTTCATATTCTCGATGTGCTTCTCAACCTTCGAGGACGCTTGAAAAATATCATCAGTTACATTAACAGTAGATTGTAAAAAAATTGTAACAATTCTAGCGGCACAAAGCGCTTCAGAATAACTTGGTACTTCGTCCTGTTGTTACCAGAGCTTTGAGGATCATTTGGCTGTAAAACTTAGCTACAGCGGCCTGGGGGCACAACGGGCCTATCTGGTGGCCTAAGTGCTTGGACGCCCGCGAGGGCGCCCCCCTTTAATACCAATACCAATACCAGAAACATTATTATTCTAGTCGGAACTTTTAGTTTTCCATTCCAATCCTTTAAATAATTATAAAAAATTGCGAAAATCAGCCACGCCCGCAGGTTTGACTTATAAATGAATGGTAGATTTTTCACGCATCTCGGTCATTCATATTTACCATTTTTTGCTTCCAGTCATATTTGCACAAACCCAAACGGTGTACCTCAATTTCGACCGCTTCCCACCCAAACACTTTTCTCCTCTAAATATAAGGGTGCGATCTGGAGTCGTCTTGTAAAATAGCCCAGTCTCGTCAAAATTGAAAATATCCTCAGAGCTGTAATTTTGTGCAATACTGGGTCACTTATCCCCTAACCAGTTCAGCACAGCTTGTTACTTTCGAAAATCGATTAAATCGAATTTTCGAAAGTATCTGCTCTCGTATAAAAATTTTATATCTCGGCAACGGTAGGGCCTATTGGTACATAAATGATCACCGTCGAAAAAAAAAATTTTTTTTGTCAGTTTGCCCGTTTACCGTTCTCGTCTTTTGCTTTTTGTTGAATAACTTTCGAACCGTTTTAACCTTTTTAACCCTCCACGAGACACATAAGCTTATAAGAAATACCCTTAATCCGACGCCGGTATCCATCTTTTTTTCGTGATTTTCGACTGTTTTTTGGACCTTGCTATCAGTGTCCGAAATTTGAAGCATTTTGACCCATCTATGCAGCTTTACCCCGTGACGGAACCTATTGAAAATGGGGAGTGGGGGTGGCTGGGGGGTCGGGAAGTATCTAAAAAAAAATAAAAATGGCGTATGCAAGGGTGTACAGAAAACATCATTTTTCAAAAACTGTTTACGAAACAACAAAAATTCCTGAACCAGAAGAAGCAGAAGATACGGCTCTATAAACTTTTATTCTTGACACTTTTTCAAAAATATACAGGGTGCGCCGCAAATTCAAAAAAACCGAAAAATTATTATTAAACTTATTATTATTAAACTAATATTGAAAATTGGTTATAACTGAAGGACTATGATTCAGATCTCACTTTCTTTTATATTGCGATATAGCCTTTATAAACAGCAAAAACTTTTGTATTTAAGGTTTTCACCTATGGTACAGGGTGTTCCCGATATTCCGTGCTAAATGAAAAATGTGTTAGGTGTCCTAAATTTGCAGATATCAACACCAAATTTAGCAGAGAAGTCAAAGTCCGTGTCCACATTTAAACGGTCGAAATTGGGAGCAATCCAATTTTACCAAGTATTTTTTAAAAATGTTTGAAAATTTTTTTTTGGTAATTTTAGCTTCCAGAGAAATATGTTTTCCCCCATAATCGTTCATCCGATTGGCAAAATTCTTTAACTGGCAGACGCAGGAGATCCATTGCAATAACATTTATTTCTGGCATTTCTTCGATTATATACAGGGTTTTCAAATTATAAGCAAAAATCTAAAACATCTAGAAAATTGTATTTTTACAGAGTAAATTATTTGCCGCAAATAAAAAAATCATAAAAAAATGGCTTATTGGTTCAAACGGAGTCATAGGCCGCATCAAGACCAAGAAATTTTGTATTTGCAGTTTCCGTCTATCACATACGCTGCTGTGTGTGCTGTCACTGTCAACACGCGATGACGTCATTGATTATTACGGCGCACTGCATGGTTTCAGAAAAAACTTATTTTCTCGAAAACCGTTTACTATTTTCAAAAAATTCTTAAACCAGGAAGCGTGGAAGATCCAGGGCTATAACCTCTACTTCGAACAATGATTGTATCATATACAGGGTGTGTTGTTTATGGGCAGAAATCTAAAATATCCTAAAAAATTCCGTTTTTGCGGGTAAATTATTGGCCATAATTGAAAAACCGTTAAAGATGGGATAATTCTATTTGACCAATATCGTAAAGCGTGTCGTGAGAAAGTTTCAGGTTTCGTCTATTATACGGGGAACGAGATATTTGAAAAAATATTACTCGACAACGCTATTATTTGTGCAAATTTTAATATTTACCGATGTTTGCTGTAACTTTGAAGTTCCACGAGATGTGAAGGACATTGTATACAGGGTGCATGCACAATTAAATTACATCGATTTTCTAAAGGTTCCATAGTGGTCCGCAGGAGCACGATAGAAAAACAATGCGTCCCTTTACCACACAAAATCGGGAAGCTCTTTCCTGCACGCTACGAACAGGCCCCGCCCAGTGACGATTTTTCGAAAGCTATTTTGTTACTTTCAAAAATCGATGAAATCGAATTTTTCGAAAGTATCTGCGCTCGTATAAAAATTTTATATCTCGGTAACTGTAAGTCCTATGGGATCGCCGTTGGTACAGAAATGATCACCGTCGAAAAAAAAAATTTTTTTTTGTCGGTCCGTTATCGTCTTTTGGTTTTTCCTGAATAACTTTCGAAACGTTGGAGCTACAAAATTGAAATTTGCCTCCTTTTCAACCCTCCACGAGACACATAAGCTTATAAGAAATGCCCCTGATCCGACGCCGGTATCCATCTTTTTTTCGCGATTTTCGAATGTTTTTTGGACCTTGCTATGAAACACGATAAATGTCCGAAATTTGAAGCAATCGACTTCATATTTGACACATATATGCAGCTTTACCCTGTGACGGAACAAATTGAAAATGGGGGGGCTGGGGGGTCGGGAAGTATTTTAAAAACATTAAAAATCGCGTGTGCAACGAACAATTTCTTTTTGTAAAACAGTTTTCTTGTAATGTTTTTTTTTGTGGGCAATTAAGAAATAATAAAAATGCTACAACGTATGCGCTCATATTATTTTATTTTCTAAAATGTCTATTAACAATGCATAAATAATTCTGTCAACTTTCTGAGCAGTATAACACAGTTTGAGACCCCCATTATTCATCTAAATCGAGTTTTAAAAACAGCAATGCATCTTTCCACAGTACTTCGGGTATGTCGCAAGTCATGACCCAAAGTTGAATGCATATCCTGAATCCCCTAACAACAAATACATTCCTTTGAAGGAAACAAATAGAATTAAAATATATCTCGAAATACATAGGTTGGCATAAAAATTAAGTAAGTGCTGAAGAGTGCAACTCTTTTATCATATTCATTCAAAAACAATGATTGATACATCACATATTATACATAGTGAAGAGCAAAAAATAAAAATATGCAGCATATTGAGTTTCCAATCACCAAAGCACGCCATATAAATGCACGTTATTCATCTGTCACTTCCACTTATTACGTGCCTGTTTTTGGAATGAAATCCTTTTCGGCAGACATAGCATCTATACGAGTCCTATCTATGCAGCGAATAATTCCTGGGAATCCACCTTTTTCCATAAAAGCTCTTTTAATTTGAGCACTTCCTTGTTCAGTTTGGAGAAAACTGATCCAATTATTAGACAGTTGACAGTTTGGAGGCAACATCCAATTCCTATTTTCCATGTGTGGGAGCAATTCGTTAAATAAATTGAGAACTAGCTCCTTATTTTGCCGAAACAATTCAATGAATCTATCCTCTCTTGCAGATTAAATGTCTCAAAACAGGATACATCTATAATTTAAGTAGGGGGATTATGAATACAAATTTTTAAAATTTTTATGTCTTAAAAGGTTTCAGGAGAGAATACGAACCCAACAAATACCTACCTGTAATGCGGTTATTCTATTCTATATTTTATGCTCATTTTAATTAAATTACAGTCAACCAAAATAAAAAACCATTTTTGGTTAGGTTGGGATTTTCATCATCATAGTTTGCATGTTTTTAACACGAGTAGTATAATTATCCGTGCCCGACTGACAAAACGAATCTTGGCCAATGATAGCCGAGAACCTCGATGTGTAACGACGGTTTCCCTTCGCATCCGCATCTCTTTCGCTTAGGAATATGATAGAAGTTACAGTCTCAGTCCTTGATTTGCTATAAATTGGTGCATGCGCGAGTCACAGTTTAAATAAAACTAGTTTTAACGACAATGTTTATTTTCTGTACTAAAGTGCGTCCGATGCGGCGCTTTTTGGAAGAATATAAAAATAAAATTTAATTTAATAAAATGTCATGGTCCCCAATTTCATTCCGCTATCGCGTTTCTGGATAGTCATCATTTCGGACCCATTGGAGTTGCATTCCGGAATGTTATTCACCAATCTAGACAATATCGTTTTCCTTTGACTTTGCGTCCACTCTGATCCGCGCGTTTGTCCGCTTCTCTACCTTCAAATGTAGTTTTTGTACTGTATCGGCGCTTAGAATTCTTGGTTGCCTAACTCAACTAGCGTTTTGTCAATCGTTCATTTTATGAGAACCGAATCAATCGAAAAGAACGAACTTTTCGATCATTCATTTCAATACTTTTTGTTGCCAACCGCAAACTATAAACCATAAGCGACAATTGTCACTGAAACCGAACAGTCTGAACGACCGATCCAGATTCATTTGAATTATTGTTGTGTCTATATTTTTTGTTTTAGTTAGAATCGTAGCTAGCCGTGTTCGGTTTTTTATTGCATCACGAGTTTATCAAAACAGGTGCTACGTATTGGGTTGTACGAATAATACATTAATTTGTTTAAATTAAATACCTGCGTGGAAATAGATATTTCATTCAATATTCAATTCAACACATAAACAAATCTATCAATCGATATCTCAAGTCGATACTATACAATGATTATAACAATACTCCCATTCCTTTTCCGTGGTCTGTCTCTGTCGTGCATTTATATCTTAAACTATTCAAATGAACCGTATTCCTCAAGGCGAATTCGATTTGTGTTGTGTACTCGGTCGCCGTCTCACTTCAGACGAACAAGCGGGATTCGATAGTTCGATCCTATGTAGTGATGGATTCAAAGTGACCGAATCAATCGCGATTGATACGACTCCAAACTAAACATTGTACGAGCAAGTCTTTAGTTTATGTTTTTAGGACGGGGTAGTAGTTTCTTTAGTTCGCTAACGTTGAATTTATTGTATACCTTCCCCACAGTTGAGAGGTTCCCGTCACGAGATAATAAAAATGGGCATAAAATGGGTTTGTTTTTTTTGCAATTTCGTGTGCCGAGGATCGAAAACATTTAAAATCGCCCTTCCACAACGAACAAATGTTTTTTCGAAGGACTATATAATAACCCCACTCTTGATTGATGGCAAACCTTCGCTCATAATTCAGAGGTACTTGATTCGTTAACAATAATCGACAGGAATAATAAGAGTAACCTTATTCGGGATGTCAGTCTTTACCTCAGTGTCTAAGCATAGTTCTTCTGCCCTAGTTCCGCACCAATAATAAATTCCAATTGCAAATACGACGAGTACTGTGGCGATCGTCCATATTTGTGTGGGGTCAGGGCCGCCCATGAAATATTGGAATAAATTCTTCCCAAATCCTTCTTCCGTAGTGTGCGAAGCTTCCATCTTTTGTGCACGTCTGCGACGCGAATGATGCAATCATCGAAACGCGATGCTCCGATTGGGCATGGTTGCGAATCCCACTCGCAATCTGCAGACTCGTTGATTCTTGTCGGCTGACGCTTCCAGGAATTTCAATTCGCGATAACGCCTGTGTTAGGTCGTAAAAATCCATCGTACAACAAATGGTCGCATTCAGCGGAGGTAGAAAAGAGATACGTAGATACGTAGCGGTAACGATTCCGATTGGGAGCGTATTGGACATTAGAATTTACAAAGCCAGTGCAATGCGTTATGTGAAAACTCTCTGCCTGTGACGTAGGTGAAGTTACATATGTAGTGGCGCGTTTACTATGTGAATGCACGGAAATTATCTGAAGCTGACCCGAGTTTTGAGTATTTTGAGTAGCTAATATAGCATTTTGTTTGGATAATCACTCGTTATTTTCATTTAATGTCAATATTAAGTCGTTTTAGTATTTATTTAATAATTATTGGGAAGTAGCGTAGGGTAGGGTGTCAGGTAGGGCAAAAATACTACTATTGCAATCAAGTTTGGCTTATATGTATTATCTTGAAATACATATATTAATTAAATATTATTACACATAAATACATAAAACTAGCGAACAAAACGCTTTACTTGTAAAACTTTGTGTTTTACGGCATTCTACCAATTTAAATATACAAAATTCAACAAATAATTATAAACAAGAAATCCCTATTTTTGGATATATTAAAGAACATATTAAAAAACAAAAAATATGCATACATAACTATTTATAGGTGGTAGGTAAATAATATGTATTTATATGAACCCTCGTATGTACATAATATAAAAAATACATATTACTACATATGCTTAAATCTTTATTTTACAATTTTATCATACTTTCTATTTTTTTTCTGCGGGTATCATCTAGCAAATATTTTTAGACTAATGTTATATTTTGCTTTTAAATTATTATTGTTCTCAGCTTACAAAAATGACTAACTATCCAACAAATCCATATACTTAGCTTTATAATTTATTATTTGGGGTTCCCGAGATGGGTTCTGGAGATGTATTTTTCTCTAGAATTTCACTTGTGGCATTCGATGATGTTGCTAAAAGCTCAGACAATACCTGGTGAGCTCCTTTTTTGGCATTTTTGGAATTAAGTCTTTTTGATCTAGATAATCCTGCTTCTGTTGGTGGCTTCTGGTTAACAAATAATAGGGTGGGAACAGCAGTTTCTTTTTATAATCTTTTTTAAAGGTAAACCTAAAATTTAAATTTTGTGGTGAATTTAATGTGTTACTCAAGACAAAAAAAATCTAATAACTCATTTTGTAAGTCTCTTTCGTAATCATTTTCAGTAAAATGAACTGAGCAGACATAGCTTTTATCTGGATTAAGTTTGTCCTCTCTTCTACATCGAACTAACCACTCGTTCCGAATAGTTCGGGATACTAGATCTTTCCCTTTGGGAAAGCGATGAAAGCTACATTTTCGAGAACTTGCTTTTTCATTAAAATAGTTGTTATTGCACCCATGCATGGCACATCTCATTCCAGGCATACCTAACTACAAATTTGCTTTTAGAATATGCCATAATCACATTTAAAAAACTACCCTTTTTTATTTTTGATAAAATGGTGTATGCGCCGGTATAAAGGTGACAATAATACTCCATCCGTATATTATAACCTTTATTGCATGCGGCTAATCAAAAATACATCAAAATACAAAAATATTTCAAAAGACCTCTAAAACAATAGTACTTTAAATAAGGTAACTTCGGGTTGTGTCCCCAGAAATCGGTTCCTTTTCTATGGTACACGCGAGACGGCAGGTTACCATCAGCTTGAGTCCGTTTTTAGTCTGTGGTTGTCCTCAAATCGTCATTTTTCGATCTCGAATGTACATTTGGCGATTTTTTCGCCTGGACTAGATCCCGTGCCTTGTTCCACTTCGCAGTATGACCTTATAATGAACGCACTATCGTCTAAATCGCGTAAAAAGTTTACAATGTTCCTGAGAGATAACAACAGCATCTGAAATAATTAACAAATCGTTCAAAATTTTGTCGCATGCGCCGGGTTCGGATTCCTCGCGCTGTATTCTCGGTTGCCTGAACAATCTATGAGAATTTTTTCCTGATTTAAAAACTTTATCGTATTGTTCGGATGGTGTGCGGACGAATAAAACCGATTTGGTTTCCTAGTGAACGCCCTTTGTAAAGCGCTTTGAAATGGCGACGAGAGACAACAAATTCTGACAAGATTTCGCTCGAACCTACCTCTGAATCAAAGCGTTTGTCGGAGCTTCCGGTTTTCCGACACCAAAAATAAAATCCAATTACGAAAACGATCAGTATTATGCCGGCTGCGATAGCTTGAGTTCTTTCGAATCTGGAAAAAGAGTATTTCAGCAGCTCCAGTCCGTATTTCCTTTCTTCCATATCGACGCTGTCGTCCCATCCAACTTTGACGAGCGAATGCGAATTGACGCAGATATGAAACGGGTTTCGACGAACGCCGTTCTCTGATTGGTTGTCCGCAGAGCAGCGCACGCGCAAAATCGGTTTGACGCCGACCTGTCGAATCATGTCTTTCAACGAGTCCATTGAGCGGTAAGAAACAAACGAAACGAAGATTTTCGGTACGGTCAGTACCGGTAGTATCGTGTGCAGTATAGTTCGCCCGACCATATACCGCTTTTACTTTGGTAAATTTTTATGAAGTACTAAATGCAGGCCTAGTTCGCTTGGGTTTCTCTTTGTAACACTCAATAAAGAGATTCGCAATTCCACAATGACGTATTTCGGTACTTCGTGCATATAATACGACCAAAAATATAGTGCATTTATTGCTTTGAAGTTTTAAGTATTTTACAGTACTTTAAACGCTGACTTTCGAAGGACCGTGGTAAAAAACAATCCCCGTTTTTTATTAGGTGATTCTGCATTTAATGTTGTGTTTTGTCTTCAGATTCGTAGTTGATATCGCAGTTATTTTATAATTTTACGTAAAATGGCGTTAAAGGAAAAGATGGAAGCTGTTAACGTTTTAGGCAAAGAAAGTGTTTCAGTTCGTCATTTGGCAAAGAGGCCAAAAATAAGGAAGATATCAGAAGTAAATGGCAATCTGTAACTAATATAAATCAAAATAAGGATTTTTTGAAAAGGGAAAGCTTTGCTATAGACGAAAGATGTTTTGAGTGGTTGGTGAAAGCTAGAAATCAGAACATTCCAATCTCAGGGCCGTTAGTGAAAATGAAAGCTAAGGAAATTACGACTACTTTGGGCTACAATAATTTCAATGCGTCCGAAGGGTGGCTTCAAAAGTGGCGCAAGAGACACAGTGCTAATTTTAAATGCATATCTGGTGAAGCTGCTGCAGTAAATCAATTTGATGTGTCGCAGTTTTTGGAAAAACTTCCGTCCATGTTGCTTGGCTACAAACCAGAAGATGTGTACAACAAAGACGAAAGTGGACTTTTTTTCGTGCATGGCCCGACAAAACTCTGTTTCTCAAAGGAGAAACGTGTGGGTGGAAAGTTGTCTCAAGACAGACTAACCATATAACTAATAAAAACATTGTTACGATGAATGGCAGATTTCAGTTAGTGCCAAACATGTTCAACGGAATTAAATATACAGTGGTAAGGTAGAAACCTTAAAACTGTATGCCCTAGACTTTTTGCATAATTATCACAGACGTATTCCTTTTGTACGTTCAAGCTTTGTAGAACCTCAATTAATTGCTTTTTGGTATAATCTTCGTGAAAATAAATGTCGTTATCATACATGTAGTTTTGGATTATTGCTTTTGTGTCACATGAGGAAGGGGTTTTAGTCAACCGTCTACTATGATAACTTGCATTGTTCATTACAATTACGCTATTAGGAGGAACGTTTGGAACTAGTTTGTTTTTAAACCAACTTTCATATAAATCAGCGGTGTTTTCATGGTAATCCAAAGAAGAATCTTTAATATTTTTCGCAGACACAGAAAGTTCATCTGGAATCCAACCATTTTTAGAGCCATCATGCAAAATAGTTATTCTTTTTCCTCTTTTTGATGGCGCGTTTGTTTTACACTTATCAGTTCAGTCAACCCAACCCTTTTCCGGGGTATCATAAGTGTCGAACCAGGTTTCATCCAAGTACATAATTGGCCTTTGTTCTCCGTAAATCCTAATTATTTCTAGATATTCCAGTCGCCATTTCCGAATCCTAAAAGATTCCATTAAAACTTGCCTTTTGTCAATTTTTTTTAATCTAAAACCCATGTGTTGAATACACTTCCATAAGGTAGTTCTGCCACATTCAACACCGGTTTCATCTTTTTCAAGCTTCCTTATTAAGGTATCTAATGTAGGCAGGCCTTGTTCCTCGTATAACCGGTAAATTTTAGGCCGTATTATATCTTGATCACTTTCATCTACACTCGAGAAAATGTCAGCATCGCTTCTTTTTTTCCTCGCTGAAATGGGATTATTCACAATTTTCCATACAGGCGCATCTCCTGAGATACACTAGACTCGCACATATTTTGCATAATTCGCTATCGCTGTATTACACACGAATTAAGAATAATTACTAATAAACTTAAACTAAGTAATATACCAAACCAAATTATTACGGAGCACAATTTTACCTGAATTTCAATTCCGAAACTTTAGGTAATAATCTTGTTGCACTGTATGTTAATGACCACCATTGGATAATCCCATTCAAAAGCAATTGGTCACTTTCTTATATCTATGAACAAACCATACCTAAAAACTAACGGTCGTAGAAAAAGTATAGTATGCAACATGTTCGGTATACTTTTTAAGTCACTCATTTACCGCACTTGTTGCATACTATACTATTTTACCGCCAAACACAACTTCAGTTTGTCAGCCCTTGGATCAAGGTATCATAAAAAACGTCAAGTTTTATTATCGGCACTTGATTTCGAAACATATTTTAACAAAAATTGAAGATGTTCAAAGCTTATCTGAGCTTGCAAAATTTTTCAATGTTTTGGAAACTTTATATTTTATAAAAACAGCATGGAATAATTAATAATTAATTAATTAATAATTAGAATTGTTTTGGCAAAGCTGGACTCAGAAAAAGTGAATGTAGCTCAGAATTTACAGAACAAGATTATTACGATCCTGAAGACGATCTGTCCTTGGCGACACTTGCTGAGTTACTGCGACACGCAAAACATCCAGAATGAAGATGATTTCATGACCTTAGACGATAACATAACAACAGAAGAAAATGCCGTTGACAGCTTTTCGAAATTGGACGTTGAAAGCCGCGGCCCACTTGAAGACCCTAGTCCAAATGACTCAGAAGAAGAAGTGGCAGCACCATGCAGTTCAAAAACGATGAATTCATATCGGGAAGCTCCAAATCATATTTCTATATTAAAAATATTTGCTAGAGATGATTTCACTGCATTTCAACGCTTAAAAAATGTAGAAAGCTATTCCGGAAATTTTCTCCGTCAGCAAAATATGGCGAAATTTCGTCAGACAAGCATTTTAGGTCTTTTTCAAAAACCTAAGGAATAATGTTTTTTTTTTTAACTTTTACACCATGTATACGTTGAAGATAAATACATAACTAGTTTAAAAATGTTGCCATTTTCTGTTACCTTTTCCTCTTATCATTACATTATACATTAAACGTAGTTACACTTACACACTATTCTTTAAGCGGACACGTCCCATAAGCAGACAAAAGTTGGTGAGTGTCCGCTTATGGGAGCTTTCACTATAATACAAATTTAATGGAAGCTATGTTTTGGTCGGAAAAATAAAGAATATAATCATTTTCTTGAAAATCGAAGATAGGTATAGGGACATATTGGTCAAAATTAATCATAAGGTGTCAGCGTATAGGAAAATGCAATAATATGCGTGGTGTCCTATTTAAAATTTCAACGATGATGCTACTTTTTTAAAGAAGCGGCAACGTCGCAATCTTAAAATTTGGCAAGGCGTTGGTAAAGATGGGTATGGTCTGTTCATAGATATAAGAAAGTGACCAATTGGTTTTGAATGGGATAATCCAACGGTGGTCATTAACATACAATGCAACAAGATTATTACCTAAAGTTTCGGAATTTAAATTCAGGTAAAATTGTGGTTTGTGATAGAAAATAATTTTATACCTAACTGTGTTTAATATTCTTTGGTTTGGTATCCTACTTAGTTTAAGTTTATTAGTAATCATTCTTATTTCCTGTGAAATACAGTGTGTATTGAATCGTGGGCGAGTTATGCAAAACATGTGCGAGTCTAGTGTATCTCAGGAGATGCTCCCGCCCAAATGTAGAAAACACTAATCTATTGATACTAAGCAAGTTATAAACAATGTTTATTTGATTCTCATTGAACGTGGTACCAGGAAGCAAGCATCTTTAGAAGAAACGGCCCATATTGACGAAAAGTCCAACATCAACTATATGGAAAATTGTGAATAATCCCATTTCAGCGAGGAAAAAAAAGAAGCGATGCTGACATTTTCTTCAGTGTAGATGAAAGTCATCAAGATATAATACGTCGTAAATTTTACCAGTTATACGAGGAACAAAGCGTGCCTACATTAGATATCTTAATTAGGAGGCTTGAAAAAGATGAAACCGGTGTTAAATGTGGCAGAATTACCTTATGGAAGTGTATTCAACACATGGGCTTTAGATTTAAAAAAAATGACAAATGGCAAGTTTTACAGGAATCTTTTAAAATTCGGAAATGGCGACTGGAATATCTAGAAAAAATGAAGATTTACAGAGAACAACAAAGGTCAATTATTTACTTGGATGAAACCTGGTTCGACACTTATGATACCCCGGAAAAGGGTTGGGTTGACTCAACTGATAAGTGTAAAACAAACGCGCCATCAAAAAGAGGTAAATATATTTTGCATGCTGGCTCTAAAGATGGTTGGATTCCAGATGGACTTTCTCTGTCTGCGAAAAATATTAAAGATTCTTCTTTGGATTACCATGAAGACACCACCGCTGATTTATTTGAAAGTTGGTTTAAAAACAAACTAGTTCCAAACATTGCTCCTAATAGCGTCATTGTAATGGACAATGCAAGTTATCACAGTAGACAGTTGACTAAAACCCCTTCCTCATGTGACACAAAAGCAATAGTCGAAAACTACATGTATAATAACGACATTTATATTCACGAAGATTATACCAAAAAGCAATTAATTGAGGTTCTAGAAAGTTTGAACCTACAAAAGGAATACGTCTGTGATAATTATTCAAAAAATCTAGGGCATACAGTTTTAAGGCCACCTTGCCACTGTATGTTTAATCCCATTGAACATGTTTAGCACCAACTGAAATCTGCCATTCGTCGTAACAATGTTTTTTCCCGTATTAACTTCAATGTCCTCAAACGTATAGAAACCGAAGTTTTTAACATCCCTCCACAAAGTCGGCCAAATTCTGTTAAACATATAGAAACAATCGTATATCCATATTGCAAATAATATAGAACAAATAATAATTAGAACAGGCGATGATAGCGATAGTGATACTGATATATTATGTGAATAAGTTTAAGTAATTTAAGTAGGTAATAACAATAATTTGTAATTTTATGTTAGATTTAAACATAAATACATACATACATAAATAAATATGGTTTAGTATCTTTCCTAACAAAACCCCAAATAATTAAATTCTAAGCAAAGTACGAACCTGTTCGGCCATATTTCATTCTTATAGATTGCCCTGGTCTTTCCTTAATTCGTATCAGTTAGTCACTTTCTTATATCTATGAACAGACTTTATCGTATTCTATTATGTTTGGTGGAAAATGGAAATCGATTATTACTACGCTTAAGACAAAATTTTTGGCGCATCATATTGGAAAGCGATAAGGGAACAAAAATCGGTAAAATCGTATTTTTCGAAAGTATACGCGCTTGGCAAAGAAGCAGTGTCGAAAAAAAAGGTTTTCATTTTTTTATCAGTTCTCCGTTCTGTGTTCTCTGTTCTCTGTCGACGCTCGATAAAAACGCGAATAACTTTTAAAGTGGCCACGAGATACATAAGCCCATAGGAAATGGCCGTGATCAGAAATGGACATCTATCTTTTTTCGTGATTTTTCTCTGTTTTTTGTACAGCGCTATGAAACACGATAAGTGTCCGAAATTTGAAGCTATCGACTTCATATTTATCAAGAAAATAGTGCATGGTCCACTAATGGAACCTATTGAAACTGGGGCGGGAAGTATTTAAAAAAAAAAAATTTGAGTGGATCTAAAAAAAATTAAAAATTTATGTATCAAAAGATCGGCAATACCCAATGCTAACATGGGGTCTCTCTTTTAGGGGAAATTTAGCATAACTAGAAGACTGCGATTCAGAAGTCAATTTGTTTTACACCAAAATGTAGCTAAGACTTTTGTATTTGAGGTTTTTACCTATTGTGTTCAAGATATACCTTGCAATGTTATAATTAACTTAACAATTAAACTTGGGCGCGATCAAGTACCGCAAAGTATTTTTTAAAAATTTTTGAATTTTTTTTGGGTTTATTTCCAGAAAAAAATATTTTCTCCAAAACTGTTATTCCGATCGGCAAAATTCTTTAACCAGCAGAAGCGAAAGATCTAGTACTATAAATTTTATTTCAAGCATTTTTTTGATTGTACAGGGTTTTTCTGTTATGAACAAAAATCCAAAAGACCATGAAAATTGTCCGTTTCCAGAGTAAATTATGAGCCGTATATCAAAATTCTTAAAAAATGTGACTGTCTCGAAAGAGAGATCCAGTTTTCGTCTATAATACAGGGTGCGCGAGATATTTGAAAAAATATTATTTTAAATCGCAATACCCACTAATATTTACTAAAGTTTGCCGTAACTTCGAAGTTCGAGGAGATGTGAAAGACACAGGGTGCGTGCACAACTAAATTACATCAATTTTGCGAAAGTTCCATAGTGGTCCGCAAGAGCACGATAGAAAAACATTGCGCACAAGCACAAGAAACCGCGAAGCGGCTTCATTTCAAAATACAAAGCTGCTTCGTGCTACGCGCTACGAGCTTGCCCCGCCCAGCGACGATTTTTCGAAAGCAATCTCGTTTGGTAAATATATTGTTGAAAAAACTTCCATGGAGTTTATTTGTGGGTGGCGATAATTAGGCGGATGCGCCGGGTCCATCGCAAAGTAACAGGAAAATTCATAAATAAACATGTACTGGCTAAACATTCCACTTTTCTAATTTTACCCGCCCGTCGAAGTTTATAAATAAAACATCTAAGTAGTTGCTGCGAGAGCGAAGATGCTTGTATCGTATCATTTATCTGTTGAGGTCGACTGTTTATTTTGGTAAGAATTCACCCCACTGCAAGGCTTGCACGTTCTTTTTGTTGTTAAACGGAGATTCTTCGGGGACTGGGAATTTACGGTTGCAAGGAATTTGTGTTCTCGGTTTAACTTCCAAGATATTTCCAGATGTCGCATTGATATAAAGACTCCAGTACAGGAAAAAAGTTTGGGTTCTTTAAATTGGTCCCTAGCACTGCAATACAATGGTATACTTCGGCCAGAAATATATTGCTTTCACAACCGACCCCGTGATTAACTTTGCTCACTTTTTATTACTCCAAAACCGCAGCCCCTTATAGAGCACCCTCCCGAGCAGTCCCTTACATGTAAACAATTCCAGGACCGTCCTAGGAATTTATTTAACTACAATAACAAGATTGCTTTCGAAAAATCGTCACTGGGCGGGGCAAGTTCGTAGCGCGAAGCAGCTTTTTATTATAAAAGGAAATAACTTCGCGGTTTCGTGTGGTATCTGCGCTCGTATAAAAAATTTATATCTCGGTAATGGTAAGTCCTATGGGATCAAAGTTGGTACAGAAATGATCTCCGTCGAAAAAAATTTTTTTTGTCTGTCGGTTCTCCATTCTCCGTTCTTCATTCTCCGTTCTCGTCTTTTGGTTTTTCCTGAATAACTTTCGAACCGTTTTAGCTACAAAATTAAAATCTGCATCCTTTTTAACCCTCCACGTGCCACACAAGCTCATAAGAAATGGCCCTGACCCGATTTTCGACTGTTTTTGGGCCTTGCTATGAAACACGATAAGTGTCCGAAATTTGAAGCAATCAACTTCATATTTGGGACATATATGCAGCTTTGCCCCTTGACGGAACCTATTGAAAATGGGGGGCTGGGGGGTCGGGAAGTATTCTAAAAAAATAAAAAATCGGGTGTACAAAAAACACCATTTTTCAAAAACTGTTTACGATACCAAAAAAATTCTTGAACCAGAACAAGCAGAAGATACGGGTTCTATAAATTTTTATTATTGACAATTTTTCAAAAATATACAGGGTGCGCCGAAAATTCAAAAGAACTGAAAAAGGGTCGCCCTACTATTGAAAATTGGTTATAACTGAAAGACTATGATTCAGATCTCATTTTCTATTTATATTGTATTTAAGGTTTTCACCTATTGTACAGGGTGTTCCTGATATTCCGTGCTAAATAAGAAATGTGTTAATTATCTCAAATTTGCAGATATCAACTTCAAATTTAGCAGAGAGGTAAAAGTCCGTGTCCACATTTAAATTTTAAAAATTGAAAATGTTTGAATTTTTTTTAGGTAATTTTAGCTTCCAAAAAAATATGTTTTCTTCCATAATCGTTCATGCGATTGACAAAAATTCTTTCACCGGCAGACGTAGAAGATCCAGTGGAATAACATTTATTTCGGGCACATTTTCGATTTTATACCGGGTTTTTCAAATTATAGGCAAAAATCTAAAAGACATAGAAAATTGTTCTTTTACAGAGTAAATTATAATAAATATTCAAACGGTGTCATACGCCGCGTCAAGAGCTACAATGTTTGTATTTGCGGGTTTCGTCTATCACATACGGTGCTCGGGATATTTCAAAAAATTCAAACTGAAATCGTTATTTCTGCGGCTGTCGAGACGCGATGACGTCGTTGATTATTACGGGGCACTGCATGGCTTCAGAAAAAAAGCTTATTTTCTCGAAAATCATTTACTATTTTCAAAAAATTATTTTACCAGGAAACTTGGAAAGTCCAGGGCTATAACCTCTACTTCGAACAATGATTGAATCATATACAGTATGTGTCGTTTATGGGCAAAAAATCGAAAATATCCTATAAATTTCCGTTTTTGTGAGTAAATTATTGGCGATAAATGAAAAACCGTTAAAGGTGGGATCATTTTATTTCAACAATATCGCAAACCGTGTCGTGAGAGAGTTTCAGGTTTCGTCAATTATACGGGGCGCGAGATATTTGAAAAAATATCATTCGACAACGGTAATATTTGTGCAAATTTTAATATTTACCGATGTTTCGAATCGCGACCACCTCAGATTTCCGAAACCACGATGGAGTCGTTGATAAATTCGTAGCTTCACGGTTTCTAAAGACACGAAAAACGCGACGATGTGGCAACGTGGCTCGGAATATCCCTCCGCCAGCTAATCGAGGACCTGGTGGAAGCCTTCGGCGACGGGGTTTCCTTCAGGCGGCGCCGTCGGCACCAAAACAGTTGAATCGCAGCCGTCAAGCTTTACAGTCATAGTGAACAGCAGAACGCTCGTCCAAATCATGAGGGAAATAGTACATTTGCAAGCTGGCCAGTGCGGAAATCAAGTAGGCGCTAAGGTAAGCTTTTATACTTTTTTTTTTAATGGATGGCGACATTTTTTTATTACGCTTACGTGGTGTATAAAAGTCTTTGGTATTTTTACGTAGTCGATTAAAGACCTAAATCATATTTCTGTATGTATAGTGCAATAACATTGCATACGTTGAGTTTCACTTTTTTTGTTTTCCTATGGCATTATTTTTTTAACAAATTTACCATATTCTTGCTGTTTTTGAAGTGGGCTTTCGTAAAATTTTAGGCGCCCAAGGAAAAAAATTAATCCTTCCTACAGATTGTTAATAATTTTGGTCGGCTTGACTGCGGCCCTTGCAGCGTTTATTTTTTATTTATTGCACTTAATTTCTCTCGCTAATCGTCTAAGAGCCTAAAATGGAAAATTAGAAATAAAAAAATATAAAATGCTTCAAATCACTTGTTGGTTCAAATAATATATGATAAATAAATAATCAATAAATAGAATAACAATAAAAACAATAGAAGAAATAATACTATTAAATTGAATAAATATTGAAAAGTTATTTCATTATTCTGCAAGTGTTAATTGACAAATTACGTGTCAGTAAAGGAAAAAATAGTTCTTGTATGGTATTTTTTTATTTTTTGCCCTATTTTTAAACTCTCATTGACAGCTACTCTTATAAATAAACCAAAAATTACTTTGTAACTCCGCCGTTTTTTCGGTGATACTTCTATTATCCTATTTTTTTATTTGGTGATGATTAAATTGTTAAACTTCTTGCTTTCTGGATAATAAAGACACAAGAAAATAAGAATTAAAAAATAGAAGTAATAATAGGTATTCGAAATTGATTTTCGTGATTATATTTTTTGTCTATTTTTAAACTTCCATTAGTGGTTAAATTATTCTGGAACTCTTTGTGTGATATCTTTAATTGAGATATTACGTATTAGGAAATCAAACAATTAGATAGTATTTTTTATTTTTATTTTTCTATTTTTAAACTTTCATGATTAATTTGTCATGATTACATTGTTCAATTTCTTGCTTTCTGGATAATAAAGACACAAGAGGACAGGAATAAAAAGAAAATCGAAGTAATGATAGGTATTTTGAATAAAATGTTAATTACACCGGGGGTATATTCCAAAGAATGCACGGCATATATCCTTCAAGGTGGAGGACACTTATCTACTTTGTAGGTTCTACTTTTTTCAAAAAGTTCAGAACTAAGAAACAAAATTTCTTGCGAAATAATTGGAGATTGTAAGATTAATTGTTATTTTAAGACAAATCAGTGGCGCACCAACAATGTCTTTCCGTACGCCCGCCACTGGTGTATTTTAAAAAAATTATGGTACACTAAACAATGCCTCTTGATACATAATACATGTGTACCAAATTTTATCAAAATATCTATAGGAATTGTATATATTAATGTTCATTATATATACATTATAAGTTTCATATAGTTCATCCTTTGGAAACTAAGAATTCGGGACGTGCTGATGTCGTACACAAGTAAACTAAGTCACTGAGACGTAAGAAGCATTTCTGATCACTTTCCGATTCGTTAAAATATCTAAAGAGGTGTTATAGATATTAAAAAAAATATATTTTATTTTTGAAAAATTTTCCACCCTGTATCTGAAAAGTTGGGACATTTAGGACATATGTTCATATGAAGTTTTCTTTCTAAAATGGGCCCAAAAAATCGCCTCCTTAATTGTTGACATTCAATTAAAAAACACCCTGTATACACTATGGGAACGGAGGGACATTAGATTTTTTACCTGAAACTTTTAATCTGGAAATGTAGAAAGAGCAACGTCTTCAACTAAAAAAAAGTTTACTTTACATGATTCAACACAGGGCAGCCCAAAAAAATAGTACGCTTTACAAAAATCTATTTTTTAGTTGGTTGCCACAAAAAAGTTCTCGAATTAATTAACTAATTAACCGACACATTATTTGTTCATAGATAGTCAGTGGCACTCCACGGATTTCATTAAAAAATAATGATATTTGTATTCATTTATAGGCAGATATGATTTGTCTGCATGCTGTCATATTAACGATATTGCTATGACCGTGCAGAGAAGAGGTTTTTTTTTTAATACTTTAGGTTTCGCTCTCTTATAGTCTTATAGCGGCAACCACCTCAATGAAATAGTAACGGAAAAGCCAGAGAGACCTCTCGCATGACGCTCGAAATTTGAACTTCGCCTTAATCTAGGTTTATTAAGTGAACGTTTATTAAGGAAAGTAGTAAAATATAATTCGTTATATTCGTAGAGTTAATTTATCGTCTAATTTACGAGCAAGTGGCCCCGGTCGTCGACGCGCCTGCAAGTGCAGATAAAAACCATTCGTCATTTTATTTTCTGGCTTACGATTCGGATAGATTTCGTTCTGCGAAAGCGTGAATAATAGATTAGAATCGCTCAAAAGCCACGGAAACAACGTTCGCCGCGATATCGACGCTACAAACAATGTGACAAAGAAGAATACGCAGACGGTTTAAAAAAAGCTATTTATTTATTTATTTATAAACCTAAAGGATTCCTAGTTAGAGGATAAACGCATATTGAACATAAGATTATGCATGGTCGGCAACACAATAGAAGTCCTAAGCTAATAGGCAGTAATTAAAAGAATCTTAGAAAATTTTGTGTGAGTTTCTTTGAAACAAATGTAGGCTTAAGGTGAACAAGTCCGTATCTTCCTTGTTCAAACAAACACAGTTATTGTAATGGGTGTTTTTTTTTTCGATTTATAGAACTTTAAGTTGGCATTACTGTCAAATGATTTATTCTCAGTTTGGTTTGCAAATAGACCGGTGTCACCAGATGAAGTTACTGGAATAGCTAATAAAGTAAAGAATAAGCATAGTAGTGGTTATGACGAAATACCTACAAGCGTAGTTAAATTATCAGTGTCCTATATTAACAATGTTCTAATTTCTGCAAATCTTTAAAATACGGCAAGATTATAAAACTACCTATTTCCATGCAAAAAAAAGTTTTTTGGCAGGTTTTTTAATTTCATTTTTAATCTTACTTTTCGCGTACCCTGTATTAATATGTATGGAAATTTTTTATGAAATCCGTTATTATACTCCTTTGTCTACAACAAAACCTACTCGAGTGAAACAATAAATGCTTCCGAATGAAGACATTCGCAGATATTTTACGTCTTGCAATCGTCATTTCTCGCAAAAAAAAGCAAAATGTCAAAAATGTTTTACTTAGATATAGGAGAATAAATACAAAATATGTCTAAAATGTTGTATAGAATTCAAAAATGAAAAATAAAAATGAAACACCGTGTATATATTACTTTAAAATAAATTGAACTTAACTTAACATTAATCCTATATTTGTTTAAAAGAAACGTATGCAAAATTTTCTGAGATTCTTTTAATTACTGTCTATTAACTTAGTAAAAAACTAAGTGCGGAACAATGTCAAAGGAGGATGCGGTTTTGTTTGAGAATAATAATTTTTTGAAAAACATTTTGTGGACTATGGACGTTTACTACACGCATCAAAAGTTAACAGTAGCTCATTATTTGCAACTCTTAGCGCACCAAACAGAACAATATATAAAAGATTGTGCAAGTCAAAAATTTTCTTAACATGACTTTTCTAACAGGAAACCGAAAGTCGCTTTTTAAAAAAACTTTATTTTTCAAAACTACAAAATTAATTGTTTACCGCAAGAGCGTATTCAACTGACTAACCAACAAATAAGCGCAACAACAGTTTTATATGATTAAAAGCTGACGCGGCAAAATCTGGCTGAGCATCTTCTTCCTATGGGTGTAGGGATGAGTCGTGACATAATTCCTCCCTCCTTAGATTCAACTTCAAGGGTTAGCGTGGAAGTTGAACATTGGCTAGCTCGATAACTGGTTCTGGTCTTCTTTCGGCTTTTTTGATATTCCTAATGTTGAGGAACTTCTTATAGCAAGCGTAGCAGCAGGCGATAATTATTATCCCGTAAATCGATAAGGTCCATAAGTTTGGAGACTCGACGAAAGGACTTATAGCGGAGATTTCTGGTTGTTTCTGCAGGATTTGGGCCCTTATTGTATGCAGCTCGTCCAACTTGACGTCGTGGAGCTCGATGTTAACATCTGGCTGAACTGGTAATTGGTTAATGACATCACCAAATTTGGATAGAAGTATCGACTGGCTAGTACTGGTTGATTTTTCGCTTACGAATACTCCTTGGCTAGACGATACCTTACAGTCGATTGGTACGTCAAACAAATATGTACCAGTCAGGATGAGAGTCTCTTCTTTATAATTGCAGACCAACTTGATTTCTTCTTTGCGAGGGAAGATACCAATAAACTGATTGGAACCTTCCATACGTTGGAATTTTGGCTTAGTGACTGTAATTTGAGTTTGTTGACATGTAGAGGTGTTACCAGCTTCAAGTAGCTGAACTTCGCAGGGATTATTTCTAGCGATTTCTTGTAGGTTGGCTTCTCCGCAGATATAATATTGTGGTAGAATCTTTTTGCAGGGGTCGCTTTTAAATGTGTAGTGCAATTTGGTTTTTAACAAGAATTTATTTCGCGGAACTATCGCTTTAAACTGACTCCCATTAAAAATAGGTATTGAATACAGATGAAAATAATCAAAAATGTCGATTTGAGTAGTCGGGACCTTTAAAATATATGTTATTTTCTTATGGTTAATGTAACATTCGATATCGATTAAATTTTGAAATTTAAGGATATTTTCCGGAGTTACTGTTAATGGAAACTGTCTTTTATTTAAGTACTTTTCTACTCTAAGGAGTTCTTCAAATAGATCGCTTGCTTTTATTATACTTGGATGTACTGTATTTAGCCTTGCAAAAGAGATTGAATTTTCAATGTCCTGTAACACTGAGTATATTATTTCATAAAGGCTTATTAATTGATTCAAGTAATCTACGATAAAGAGTGAATGACCTTCTGTACCCTTAATAAAAATTATTATTTCATTAATTTTATTTTCTAAGATTTTTTCGTTAGTAGCTATT